AACTTTTTGTTCCTTTTTGCGCCTAAGTGACCATGCTTCTACTAAAACTTCAAATACCTAAAACTTAGGAGTTTTCATCAAATATTGAGACAAAATAAGCATTCGAGGACACTAATTCTATCAAAATAAAGCCCTAAATGAGTCCAATTTGTGGACTCATCAATTACTTACTTAGCAGAAGACTTAAATCAATAAATATAAAACTATGAAATAAACTGGAATGTTATAAAGGAACATTCAACTTGTCCATTAAGGCAAACTAAAGTCCTAACATAAGATAATGACAATGAAAACGCTTAAGAACTAACATCTGACTGTCTATGAAGCCTCTAAAATAACTAAGATGGATGTCGGGACAAACCCCACTACATCCTAATGAACTAATAAAATAATTGAAAGTAATAAAAGGAGTCCTCTAGAATGCAACGAGGTTCACCAACTGACTCTGGAGTGCTCGCTGGATCAACGAAGCACTGGATGCCGATCCTAGTTACCTGTGTCTACATCATAATAAGATACAGGCCAACTGGCATCAGTAAATTGAATGTACGAGTATGCGAGTTAGAATGCTAAACACAACATAGGCTTGAAAGAAAACTAAAGAACTTACCTGACTCAACTCAAGTCAACATAACTGAACTCATTTCAATATAAAGCAGTCTAAAACAAGTGCAATATAAAGAAAAGTTGTTTAAAATATGATGTCTACTCTGTGTGTATGCAAAGATACATATAACTCTGAAATATATGTAGAAATACAATAAACTGTGTATATAAGAATACAATTACTGTTGTGAGAGTTTCTCTAACCGACAACCATCACGTAAGAGTTATTGTGATGATACATCATTTTGCCTCACACTTTTGGGGCCGTCCTATACCTTGTCGAGGGTATAGAACCTGAACTACTAAGTGGATCCACTAGTCTATGCTAAAAAGCACTAAAGGAATCATCTAAAAAGTATGACCCTTTTCTACCCATGGTGGCTACATGGTTTATGGGGGCTGTGAATTGTCTGAACTCTCCCCTATATCGGTGCTTAATACTACTCCCAAAAATATAATATTAGCTCTTATTTTTAAAAACATACTTCTTTCTATGATTTAAGATTAGTGCTCAAAAACTTAGCTCAAAGGCTATCTTGGAAATCAAAGTTTCCTCTCTTGCTTCATTTAGAAAGCGATTACTCTTTTCTGAAAACTAGCCCGAAGGCTCTTTGGAAATCGAGGTTTCCTTTCTTGTTTAAATGTGAAAACATTTTAAACCCTTTGGGAATACATAGTCCCCTAATACTTTTGAAGAAATGAACTTCAATCTTTACTCTTTACTCTTTACTCTTTACTCAACTTGAACTTTAAGTCTTAAAACAAAGTTAAAAGCATTTGCAAAAGACTTTTTTAAAAGACTCTAAGCACTTCCTAGACTTGGCTCTTGACTTTCCTTGAATTTGAATTTATGGATTCAAGGTTATGATTCAAGTTTCTGGATGATTTCTTGATGTTTAGAAGTCATTTAGAGTAGTTAGAATCAATGGAAAGTGTTAGGACGCTTTAGAAGGACTTAAATAGGCTAAACAATGAAAACTAGTGAAAAACGACGATCTGGGTGCATCCCGGGTGCGCCACGCCAGCCCCACTTTCTGGGTCTCCTTTTGGGCGCACTGCAGGCGCGCCGCCCCAGCCTCTTTGGTGCTATAGGTGTGCGACGCGCCTGGCCCTCCCCAAGTGTGTCTGACAAATTTTTGATCTTGTTTTCTGATCCTAAATCATTTTAATCCAATTCTTTTTCTCAAATTCACTTTAGATTCATGTACCCAAATCATATACATAAAATCTAACCCAAACAACTCAAGGAAACAACACTTTAACATCAAGAAACTCCTTAATCCCAACTCATATTCAAGAACGAAATCAATTCAAGAACATCAAATTCTCAATCTTTTTAGGACGAAAATACACTGAATTAAACAATCTTGGCGCGTGGGTGAACTAACCCAACGCTATGTGATCTCACATACCTCGTAGGGATCACCCCCGACGAAATTCACAAGCTAAACTCGACAAATCTTGAACGTTCTTGCTTCTTCTCCTTTCTCCTCTTTTCTCCTTTCTCCAAGCCCTAGCGTGAAATTCACTCTTTTCTAAACTGAATAAAATCTGACTTTACCCCAATTAAACTCCTAAAAATGAATTAGAATAATTAGGTAAGGAAAAGACTAAATTACCCTTCCAAAATTCGGATTAGACTTTACTTAATCCAATAACCCAACTTCCAAAGGGCCTAACTTACTCATACGAACTCGGAATCGCGCAAACTCTGCGGCGTTGGAAAGATCATTCCAAGATCTTTCCTACCATATCTGGAAGTACCTCTAACTCATCCTGAGATAGAAGTTATGACCGTTTGAAGTTGGCCAAAACTCAACTTTTCCTAACTTAAACAAATTTTCCAGATTTTCATTATTTCCAAAAATGACTATTTCCAGTTCTTACCTTCTTCCTAGATATTTCAAATTGAGAGATGTTACAACTAATATGTGACTTGATTTTGCAAGGTGCATGAAAATCAATTATTAAAAAGTTATTGCACCATTGTTTGCAGAGATTAACTAAATTTTAATTTGTAATTCATTTGATTTAGTAGTAAAATATGTAATTAAAATACCTTTATCTTTATTAGTCTTTTAGGTATGTGATAAATTTACTTAACACGAGATCATTTTTCTTTGTTTGGTTGACTTAATATATAACTAATATAGATACGAATTGAAATCATGTGAAAAGCTATAATTGATTTCAATAAAGAGCATTGTAGTAAAACTAGAATTTTCACACACAAAGCTATAATGCTTCTCCTTGCTTGGCTATTAAATCAATAATCTTATATGCAATCTCGTTAGAAATTTTCATGGCCAAGACTACTTTGCAGCTTCCATTGTCTTCAAAATTTCGATTAAGTTTAACCACTTTTGACATTGCAAAAGAAAACAAAAACTAGATTAAGTTAATAATTAATTTACTGGAACATTTGATGAATTCATACTTGATAAAATTAATATTAATCTCTGTCATCAATTGGTCACAGTTTGCAAGAAACTTTTTGTGAAGTTCATGATGTTCTTCGATAGTCGCAGAGCTAGTTGATCTCCCCATTCAATTCACTTTGCAATTCATATTCTAAGAAGATCATTTTATTTTTAAAGTCCATTGATTTTCCTGCTTTCTTGATCTCCCTGCGAATTGAAAATAGCCTAAAATGTCATGGTGGTCATAAAAAAAAGACCAAAAAAGAAGAAATAAAAAGGACATCGAATAGAAACTCACTTGATAAGCTCTAGTTTTGGAAAATTGTTTGGTAAATGATATTTTGAGAAATTTATGAATGAAGAGACTAGTTGATGTACAACTGAACTGAATGAGCTTCCCATTTATAGAATATCAGAAGTTGTTGTCAAAGTTGCTAATAAGTTGTCTATTTGTGCAAGTTTATCCAACTGTAAGTTTATCCAATTGTAAAATTATCCAATTACATTCTTATTCAATTGCAAGCTTATCGAAGAAATCATGTAATGAATATCCACAATATGGTATATTTATAACAATTTCTTAATATTCTATAATAAAAAAACAATATTTGAATGTCACAATGTATTATAAAGTTAATAAATTTTATGAGATTACCACAGTGTAGAAAATTGTAAGAAAATAATTTTATTCATAATCAATGTAGAAAATGGTATGTTTATATGCATTTGTAGTTTATAAATGTTAAAGAAAAAGTTTTGTATAATGAAAATAATAATAAAATATTCAAAAAGTGGTTGGTGAGATGAATAGCGTCACACCAAATTAGTATAAAATTTTATATGGAATTGAAGCTCCAAAACACCAGATTTTACACTAATATAGAATTTGGTGTTGGATTAGAGATGGTCTAAGTACAATAGAACCATAAAAGCTCTTAAAGAGAACTTCTTGCATGTGCTATGAAAACCTTACAGTATGGATATTTGGATGAATTGTTTCTACTCTAAAGACTTGACATTTCCAAAATCATTTTTCACTACTCTTAAAATCATATTTCACTAGTATTAGTGTTTGACTATAAATTTTCAAATATTATTTTACAAATTATTCTTGGGTAAAGTTTTGAGTGAAGTTTCACCATGTGTTTGACTGTAAATCTTGGAAGAAAAATTAAATCTTCCAAAGAACTATGATTTATACCTATAAATTCTAAAAACTATTAAAAATATCTATAAATTTGTATTATTATTTGATATTGAATGTGTTATGTGAAAAGTCATGATAACGAACACAATTAATATCATTGATTTGTATAAAAAATGTTATTGCTATTTTTAATTGAAAGTGACTCCGCAAAGTTTGTGCAACGATCTAGGAAAGACATTCAATCCAAAATTATAAATGATTATTATTTTTATAGAATATAAAAATTTGAGTAATACTAGTTTTTTTCTAGTATTTGAGTATTTAAACCGTTTGTCAAAAATATTTACCAAATAATAACAAATGATATGATCAAATAAAATTTATGGAGTTTTTTCTCAAATATTTTTGAGAATATCTATTGTCAAACAGGTCCTAATCATATACCTCTCTCCTCTACTTGATTAACTACATTTCTTGTTATGTTGTATTTTAATATTTATTATTTCATAACCATTTTGAAAGCCTAGTTAGATGGAGTTAAATGATTGTTAGTTGTGTTTACCCCCTCCTAAAACTACTTTACCCCACACCCAAGACTTCCCAAGCACCACAACCCCAACCCCTCCGCTACCCCTACCCCTCCTCCTCTGTTTCTATTTTTAGTAAGTAAGCAAACACTGAATTTTAACGTCTAAATAAATGGGTTACGCCACCCATTTTCATTTCTGCTAGTCTTTACTTTCCAAATATAGTATTTGTTCAACCCCCCTGCCCCCCAAAACCTTAACCTCATCCCTTTTCTACCCCGTAAAAGCTGGTCCCTCTTTTTAATCTTCCTTGGAATTTGCTCTTTTGTTTGGTGTACTGGTATCATTGCCTTGTTGTCAGCGTATTCAAGAACAGTTCCAAAATCAAGTCGGTTAATAGTATTTGATAAGTATTTCCCAACCCTTAGGGTTAAGTGTTTTTTCCCAATATATAACTTGGGGTGGGTGGTGTGACTTCTGATTTGAATCTGGTCTTGGTTGGGGTTTTGTTTAAATCTTGTTTGCTGAGTTGTTGTTGATCGATTGGGGAATTCTTGGGGAAGTTCAAGAAAGTTTGCTTTTTTAGATGATGGGAAGTTCTTGAATGTTAAGGTCAGTGCTTAAAAAACTGTTCTTTGGGCATGTTTGTTTCTCTTTCTTATTTATCTTATTTGATTTTTAAGTAGTTGGGCATGAACTAAATATTCATGTGGGTAATTGCAGGTGTGTAAAGTGTTTAGATTGTTGATTGGGAAGTTGGTAGTGGAATATTGGTGGGAATAGGATGATTTTGATTTTCAGATATTGGATTCTTGGACTGCAAATAGTGGAAGAGTATAGGGAATCTGATACAAGCTTGAGTGATTTGAGTGTTCTCTAGCATTTGGTTGATTTATTGTAGTTTTTTTTTTTTGCTATTTTGGTTTTAAATGGAGAGGGGAGTTGATTTTTGGGCCTCTCCTAAAGGTCAAGTGGAGGGCGTTGCCTCGTTTGATGCTAGTTCAAGGTCTTCAAATGTTGATTCATTCAACAATGTTATGGAAATTATGAATCTTGATGCTTATGCTGGATGGTGCACTAGCCCTAGTGCAGCAGAGCACATGATAGCCTCATATGCCGCATTTTCGCCAATTAATCACATGTCTCAAAGTTACGCACCATTTGAAGGAATGAGTTATACAGAACAAAATACTGGAGCATTTCCTCCAATGGACGCCAATATGGTGGCAAGTAATCATGATGGAGGAGAGAAAATGATGTTTGGGCAAAATGATGACCACTTACATTTTATGGTAGATTCAGTTGATGGGGAGGATGGTTTGGTAGCTAAAAAAAGTAGAAGATCAAGCCAACAGTCTGACAGTGCGGATATTGGCAACTCTATGATCCTCAGGTCACCTTCTCAACCACTTGCTGAGAGAATGCTTAGGGCATTGGCAATGTTTAAAGAGTCATCTGCTGCAGGAATTTTGGCTCAAGTTTGGATTCCAATGAAGAATGGTGATCAGTACATCTTGAGCACATGTGAACAGCCATATCTTCTTGATCAGGTGCTTTCTGGCTATCGGGAGGTCTCCAGGAAGTTCACTTTTGATACAGAAATAAAACCAGGAGCAATCCCAGGTCTTCCTGGTCGGGTGTTTAGTTCAAGAATTCCAGAGTGGACGTCAAATGTTCTGTACTACAAGGAGGCTGAATACTTACGTGTACAATATGCTGTTGACCATGAAGTTCGTGGATCTATTGCTTTACCTGTCTTTGAGGATGATGCCTGTGAAACTCCATGTTGTGCAGTATTGGAACTCGTTACAATGAAGGAGAAACCTAATTTTGATTTGGAAATGGATAATGTTTGCCAGGCTCTCCAGGTTCACTCCTCTTTCTTGCATGCTCTTTTCTTTATTTTGAGTCATGAACCCTTTTATATTGTAGCCTTGCAGTAGTTTATGTAGATTCAATCCTTAATTTTAGTTGCAAATTGTCATTTACTGTTGTTTGGAAAAGAAAAATATGAGTGAAAGATAGTATGGTTCTTTTTGTTCTTTGAACTTGTATAACACAAGTTTGCTCAACTGCTATATAATAAAAAGGAATATCTGAGCAAAAAATTAGTAAGTTTGGTTTGCAGAAATATTTATGCTATTGAAATTTTATTTTGAATGTTAACTAACAGCAACATAATAACTTTGCGATAGTTTTACTGTTCTTGATGTTCATACTTTTTTTTAATCAAAGAAGAAGAAGGGTGGAGGGTAGTGGTCATAGTTTTACTAATCTAGCTCGTCTACCTTGGTACCTGGTTAAGAACACATAAGTAATATTCCAGTAATAAATTGCTCAAGAGATTTTGATACAGTATGTAAAATTCTTTCCTGTTGAATTTTAGTAGCAGACTAACAGTTACTCCTTAAGAATTAGGTTCTATTTGGACTTATAGAGTCATAACTTGCTTATCACTCATAAACAAAGTGATAATATACCAACCTTCCCTGCTTGTCACTAACTCTTTTGTATGTCACGACAAATATGGGTCATCACTTGTATTCACCCCCCCCCCTCCCCCAACTGCTCTTCCCTGTTGCCCAGTGCCCACAGACCTCTAATAAAGGAAAAAGGTGAGTTAAACCAAACCAGGCGACTTTTTAAGAGAAACTTGTTTGGTTGTTTTATGATAATATAGATACTTGTTTCAACTTTATCGCGCCCAAAAAACTTTAGTAATTTTCTTTGGAGTACATACTTTTTTGGCTGATCAACTATTAGATCTTACCTTTATGTTTCTGATTTATCAAAAGTTTATGCCAACAGTAAGTCAGAGCACATTGACTCACAGTATGTAAGTTTGTATATATGTACACCAGTATTGTGAAGACTAAAGTTACAAAATTGAGACAACTGCCATAATTTGGTGTCACAATATGCACTTTTCTTATCATTCTGCATTTTTATCGCTTTTTGTTTTATCTTCTTGTGCGTGTGTTTTCATATATCTCTAGTTGCATCTTTTGGTAAAATATGGTTTAATTTGTAGCTTCTGCTCATCTGCAGGCTGTGAATTTAAGGAGTATCGCGTCTCCTCGACTTCATTCTCAGGTATACTCAAAAATTTTAATTGTACATGGAATCGACACACCGATCGTGTGATTTATTTTCTCGTGTTATATTTTTCCTGATTCCCTTGTTGCTAGTTACAATTTCTGTTTCCTCATCTTGCAGAATCTCTCAAATAACCAAAGAGATGCTTTAGCTGAGATAACAGATGTTCTGCGAGCAGTTTGCCATGCACATAAGCTGCCTCTTGCTCTGACATGGATTCCCTGTAATGTCACTGAAGGAGAAGGAGATGAACCCATCAGAGTGCGTGCTAGAGGATGTAATACAAGTTTAAATGAAAAATGTGTGTTATGTGTTGAGGATACAGCTTGTTATGTGAGTGACAAGGAAATGCAAGGATTTGTACATGCATGTAAGGAACATTTTCTCGAGGAAGGTGAAGGTATTGTTGGGAAAGCTCTGCAATCTAACCATCCCTTCTTCTACCCTGATGTGAAGGAGTATCATATAAGTGAGTACCCACTTGTGCATCATGCACGGAAGTTTGGTCTAAATGCTGCTGTGGCTATCAGATTACGTAGTACATTCACCGGCAATGACGATTACATATTGGAGTTCTTTCTTCCTACAAGTATGAAGGGAAGTACCGAGCAACAGCTTCTCTTGAATAACCTTTCAGGTACCATGCAAAGAATTTGCAAAAGTTTGAGAACAGTAGCAGATGCGGAATTGGTTGGACAAGGTGCTAAGTTTGGGTTACAGGATGGATCTGTTCCAAATTTACCACCGATTGCATTGTCTAGGAAGAACTCTCAGCACTCATTGGACAGTAATTCAAATTCTGTAAACGGGGCTCCTTTAGGTGCCTGTGATTCAAAGAGTGCTGGAACGCATGCTGATGATTCTCGTGAACAGGTATCTCACTCAATTATCGAACAAGCATTATCTTATCTAAATGACATCCAACTAGAGTGTTTCAGTTGAGTATTCAACCTCAATCAGCTTTCGTTTAATGTGATTTAGGTGAGAGCATTTAATATGCTCCTCATTCATACTACACTTTTGAGCACTCTTTTATTTACACTTGTTCTTTTTTTTCCTGAACAACTTATGCTCCGTCTGTTAATGATTTATTTCCTAAATGTATCTATACTGAAGTTTTGTTGCAACATGTTTTGTAGACAATGACTGGATCAAGAAGACAGATTGAGAAAAAACGAAGTACAGCAGAAAAACATGTCAGCTTAAGTGTTCTTCAGCAATACTTCTCTGGGAGCTTGAAGGATGCTGCAAAAAGCATTGGTGGTAAGCATATATACATCGAATGGATAAGTCCACTAATTTGCAAGTATACTGGATACCTCTATATCATTCAGTGTTGTCTAAAGCGAAAAGCGATAAAAAACTCTTAACTCCCGTTGGGGCTTTAAGCACAAATATAGCATGACCTTTAATTAAAATAGGCGCAAATGGAGATTTTTTTATTTTTTTTTACAAATTTACATGTTTATTCCAAGACTAATAATTAATAGCATGAATAACAAATAAATGGACAGAAAATTGAAACTTTTTCACAATAAACTGAATTATCAATTGTTTAGTGTTGTCTCTTCCAGAAATGCAAGGAAAAGTTTGCCTTAAAGCCTTAATGATGACACTGAAGCGCACGATAATCAAGGCAGAGTGCTTCACATGTTTTGAGCTTTGCTTCAGGGTTCAAGCGCTCTTTAAGGGTGCCTTTGACAACCCTGATATGGTCTTTTTTAGTTGTTGACAATAGCTCCTCCATTCGGTGTTAATTTTATGATTCAACGGTCCTTTGTGAAAATTTCTCTTTTAACTTTACCAAGATTTTGTCTTTAGTCCAAATGTAGGATTATAAGTGTGGGCACAGTCTTCCCTTTCGTATTAAAAAAGAAAAACGTTTTCAAAAAAAATTAAGTGTAAACACAGTGAATATAATGAATATCTTTCCCTCTGTTTCCCTTCAAACATGAATTTGGGACTCTCTTCTCTGATAAGTAGGATATGCTATTTTTGATGGCTATTGTATATTGTGTGGAGTTTTATGTAACTTCTTAATTTAAGTGTGAAGTTCTGCTTAATGCAAAGGGAAAACAAAAAGAAGGCAGAATAAAAACTGAATCCTCAGTATTGGTTAGTAGAAATGGTTTTGGGGATCCGTTGATGTATACTAAGTTGCTCGGACTCGGGTGCCGGTGTTCGATACGAATGGAGATCTAGAGGTTGGATTGATCTAAATTTTAAGATTTAGGGATACAGATCCAGGTATGGATATATGTGCGGGGATTCAACTAAACATTATTCAAATCTATAGAAGTACAGTTGTAAAACCTATATTATGTGGAAAACTTTGAGGAAAAAATGTTGATCAAGAGGAGAATCTTGGAAGAAGATAAAAGAAAAAGGAGTGACATAGGAAATTCTACCAAGTATTCCATTTTCTTCAATTCCACCTTAGCTTTTCTTTTGATTACAAAAATCATTGAATCTATCCAAAATTTCTCCGTCAATTTTGGTCGAAGTACTCAAAATCTGTTGAATAGATCAGGTACAAATCCCACCCCCCACACCCACATCAATGTCGTGTCGACACGGGTGCAACGCCGAAAGCGAAGAGTCCGAGCAACTTAGGATGTATGCCAAGTAATACTATGGATTTCATACTACCCTGGCTCAAGTTGGATTTATCCAAATCGTCCAGGGACTTATGGAAGTCCAATTTCAGAGGTGGTATGGTGGGTTATATGGAGAGTAAGAAATGCTAGAATTTTGAAGACGAGATGGATAATGTAGTTTATCTTAAACTCAAACTGAAATCATTGCTTAGATTTTGGTGGATCAGAGCTCCGGCATTTGTTTAAGATACAGAAGCTATGATTGACTTCCTTTGTTCTTTACATACACTGTCCTTTTTCCTCAGCATTTCCTTAATGCTGGTGGAAATGCTGGTATTTGTATATCAATACATCTGTGTTGCTAAGTAAAGATAGTTGATGTGAAGTATTTGTTCTTTATGATATTTTTAAGGGTATGCAGAGACTAATTTTTTATAAGGATGAGAAAGGGAATGGAAAGTAAAAAGTATATTGGCTTTTCTTTGAAGCAGTAGACCCTTTCAGAAGGTGGCATTTAAAATTAATTGTTGTGTGTATTTGTGTATTTTGTAGTGTGTCCAACTACCTTGAAAAGGATATGCCGACAACATGGGATATCTAGATGGCCATCCCGGAAGATAAACAAAGTCAACCGGTCTTTGAAAAAGATACAAACAGTGCTTGAATCTGTCCAAGGGGTAGAAGGGGGATTGAAGTTCGATCCAGCAACTGGAGGTCTAGTTCCAGCTGGCTCAATTATCCAAGATTTCAATGCACAGAAAAGCATATTTTTCCCATTCAAAGATGTCTCTGTCAAAAATCCTACTTCTGTTTTCCAGGATGCTGCTGTACCCTCATCTTCAGGCAATGACAAAGAGAATTCTGTGGTGAAAATGGAGGAGGACTTTTATGCTGATGGGAACCAACTCAGCCAATCAAATCATATCAATACTTCCTCTTTTAAGGAAGGGACTAAATCAAGTATTGAAGTGTCTGGATATTGTTATGAATCTAAGTTGGCAACATTAGATGCAGGGTCATCCGGACCTGCAAGTCTGAATGCTATGCCATTGACTGATTCCGGAAATGCATCATTGGGATCTTTCCTTACAAAAGAAGGATGCAGGAGGTGGGGATTGAACAATGACACCTTGGACAATTTTGACCGTCATTTCACTTCTCGGTGCTCGTATCCCATGGTTGTTGGGGGTGATGTTGACAGTAAGATGAAAGGAGATAATGAAATGGATGGTGATGGTAGGGTGATTGAACATAACCAGGCCAGTTCTTCAGCCATGACAGATTCATCCAATGGGTCTGGGTCTGGGTCGATGATAAATGGCAGTTCATCAAGCTCTCACAGTCATGGTGCAGAGAAGCATTCTAAAGTTGAAGTGAACTGTGGTGATAACGGGTCAACAATTACTGTGAAAGCTACTTACAAAGAAGATACCATCCGATTTAAGTTTGACCTTTCAGCAGGGTGCTTCCAACTCTATGAGGATGTTGCTAAGAGGTTTAAACTACAGACGGGGACATTCCAACTCAAGTATCTTGATGATGAGGAGGAATGGGTGATGTTGGTAAATGACGCAGATTTGCATGAGTGTCTTGAGATACTGGAATTTGGTGGTGGTCGTACTGTCAAGTTTCTTGTTCGCGATACACCATGTGCTCTGGGAAGCTCAGGCAGCAGTAACTGTTTTTTGGCTAGTGGCTCTTAACAACCTCATGCAGGTCCAAAAGCTTCAATCAGGTACTTAAAATGATAACAATGCCACTCATGATTTTGAGAGTTGCTAGTTTACACATGAAATACTAGTATGTTTGGTAGAGTTTTTCCATTCTGCCTTTGAATATGGTTACTCCTAGCAAGATATCCGAAGAAGAAAAGCAGGAGCATAAGAAGATTAGTAGAAGCTGCATAGTAGTTGAAAGTTCATTTGTCGTCTGTTTTCTATTACGTTTGCAGGTGAGATAGTAGATGCACATCTTTGTACTAGTCAGAAATGAGTTAAAAGGAACTGTCTCAAGTGGCTTACCTACTTTGTAAATATGTTAGTTTAAGAGTGTTATTTTAGGGAATAGTCAAAGCAATAAGTTGTACAACGTCTTTTCAATAAGAATATGTAAAATTTCTTCTTCTAATGTTAGTTTGTCTTCTTTTGCAAAAGTTTATTTGATGTTTTGCCTAGATACTTAGAAATGTTCATGGACTAAATGGTATTCTTTCCTTTAAAAAATAATGACATATTTTACTTTTTATCTATTTAAAAAAGAATGATTCTTATTTTTTTGGCAACACTTTAATTTTAGCTTTTCATGTGACATGCTTAAAGTCACAAAATTAAATGATATTTTGGTACAGTTAACATAATTTTAATTTTAAGTCTAGAAGATTGAAAAGTTTTTTTATTTTCTTAAACTTTGTTCAAGTCAAACTAAGTCATTCTTTTTTTAAACAGAGGGAGTATAACATAACTATTTATAACTTAGAATAGAAAAAATATGACTACAAAAATTGTGTTTTATTTTCAGTTCTTCTACAAATGTTAGTACTGCACAATGCACGGTTCATGTTAAAAAAATATTATTTTATTTGTTTGACCAAATTATATTATTATTAATACTTACCTGAGCTACCATATAAGTTTTATGAGAAAATTCTTTTGAATTTTGATTAAGACAATGATTTATTTAATGTCAAATAATAGATAGTACTTTACAAAAGAAAAATATAATTTTATAAATTCTAAGTGCATAGGTTTCTTAATAGTGACATATTTCTCTCTTTTCATCATAAATAAATGCGGTTGTTTCAGGATTTTAAATGACAATTGAAATTTTGTATGATTTGTTATCAAAGACGCTTCTACTGAGCTAACAATAATTGCTACTAAGAAATAAGAATGTTGTAGTATATACAAGGCCTCTAATTGTTTATATGTATGAATTAAGATTATACTATTACAATTACAAATTCATCGTTCATTGATCAATCACGTGAGTATGCATTCCGTCAGCGCATAGCGAATATAAATAAAAATAATTCATCATGATTTCACTTCGTCAAGAAAAATGTCAATTAATTGAATCATATTCATTCGGTCAGATTCTCTACTTCTCGCGCCCTTTTTAAAAGATGCAACATGTTGAGAGAAATAAGTGAAAATCTTCTTGGTATGCGCTCGAGGAACCTTCATGAAAATTTTCTCTCTTCAGAGGATCTTTTTTCAGTTTTAAACTAACATTTCATTGTCATCTAGTATCATTCCAATGTGAAAAATCATTTTAAATACAATATGAAATATAATGTGAAAAATCATTTTAAATACAATATGAAATATAATGTGAAAAATCAACATGTATACTCATTTTTCATATTTAATAATTTTGATTATTTAAGACCAACACTAGAACAAAAATACATTTTTCACTTCTTTTCACCATTAAGTTGCAAATGGAGCTTAGCCTAGGACTCATGAGTGATTTCTTGTAATAAACAAGGTTAAAGGTGTACTTGGTTTATTTATAGAACTTTTAATTCGTCATAATTTACCAACTTAAGAAAAAAGAATTATCTAAAACTATAAAACAAAGTTTCCATGTCATAAATAGGAATAGTTCTACATCAACTATTTTTTTTCTTTTCGAAAAATATTCACACAGGCTTTATACTGATGAGTCAATGAAAAATAAGATGATTAAATTGTTACCTTTAAATAATCTAAGAAATATTTTATCATATATTAAGTGTAAAAGAATTTTAAATTTAAAATGTACCTTGAAGTGTTTTCAATTTCTCTATAAAAATCATTCTTTAGTAGCCATGTCATATTTATATATATTATCATATTCATTTATATTATCATATATAATAAAAAGTGGAAAGCTTCAAAGTTCAAAGTTGAGTTGTCATTTTAATTACCCTTACGTTAAATTAGACTATTGTAAAACATTTAATTAATTAGATACTATTAAATAATAATCATATTTCAACAATCAAACTAACTACTTACTATTTTATGCTAACGTATGGAGATGTAATTTTAATTAATTATTTTTTAGTTTAAATTATATTTTGATAGAAAATTATATGCAGTAGTATTTAAATGTTTGAGATGTTCAATAGTCAATTCAATGATGTAAGTGAGGGGTCTTTCGTTTCCTCCTCCATCATTCCTAAAAACGTTTCTGTATAGTGAATCAACTTATACTTAAATTTTAAATGGCCTAAATTATTTTATACATTAAATGAGAGATTATGATACACTTCAATCAATAAATAGATAGCAAGAATTGGAACAGTTGAGTAGAATCATATCATAGAATAACTAAACGTGACGAACAATTCAATTACTTTTCAGTAGACAATTAATTAAATAAATCACTATTCACTACATTAACTAATCAATACACAACAAATCATTACTGTAAGAATTATGATTAAGTATCTCTTACTTATGGCCCAAGTTTACTTGTAACCCAAGTAATACCATAAATAATATTTAATAAGGAATAGATCTCGTCCGTACATTGGTTACTTGATGGACGTACCAGATTAAGTCATAACCTCTATAAATTGGTCCTCCCTCCACCCATTAGGGTTACCACATATTCTCTACATTGATTCAATCGTTGACGGTTGTGGTAACATAAAGTTAGGGCAAAGAGGTAGAAACCAATTTACAACTAACGCTTCCGCTTTTCTCTATGATGATGTCTTCCGCATCAGGTATGTGCCCCTAACAATCTCTATGTAAGATTATCGTGTTCAAGATCCTAAAAGTATTTAAACTTACATGTGGTATCAGAGCCTGAATTGTTTGAACTAATAATCCTCATGTACAAAACACGTGCATATGAAAACTTTTGCAACTAATTGAATTAAGTAATCAGCACACAAAGACATAAAGACTATTGCATTGAATCTCTTGTTCCTATTTAAGTATTCTTCACCACATCAGTGAATCGGAATTTGGGGATACAAACAATAAATTCTCTTGTGTAAGGGTGTGTAAGTATTGTTTGAACTTTAAAGAATTTTTTGTCGGCAAAATTGAACTAAAGTGTTATCCTGGAGTAATTTTCAGTGGTCAATATTCCTATTCGGTCTAATCAGTTTGCGCTTCAGTTTTTGAGGAAACACTACTTTGTTCTTCACGATCTTAATTTTCCCATAATGTAATAATTATGTTTTGTTTTAAATTGTGCAATAAATTAAAGTGGTCGTTATACTAAATAATAAATAATGTGTATATTTTGTGCAAAATAGTTTTTTAGTCACCAAAGTGGCCAAACTAGAGAAATTAACGTCTACACATATCATGTTTATGATCACTTGATGCATGTATTATGTTTCTATAGTTTGTTAGTCATCAAAGTGGCCAAACTAAAATGTATAAAAATATTCACCTGCACAAAATTTTATGATATCATGTGTGCTTTGTATTTATATAGTTTGTTAGTCACCAAAGTGGCCAAACTAGAGAAATTAACGTCTTCACATATCATGTTTATGATCACTTGATGAATGTATTATGTTTCTATAGTTTATTAGTCACCAAAGTGGCCAAACTAAATGCATAAAATTATTCACATGCACAAATTTTTATGATATTATGTGTGCATTTGTATTTATATAGTTTGTTAGTCACCAAAGTGGCCAAACTAGTAAGGTTAAGAAGAATGTGCATTCATAAAATTGTCATTTATCTATGAAAGTTAATGTAATGCCTATATTGAAAATAAATAGATAAATTTACTTTCACTATTGCTAGAACGTAAGAATTTACTCAAAGGTGAATTAATCATTTTACGAATAGTGAACATTATGATGTAAATTAATATTTTCAATCAAAGATATATTGTATATCCAAAGATGTCGTATATGTTTGGTTAAATATATTTAATTGCCTATTAAAGATTTAAAAAAATGGCATTTAAATTATGGTAGTGTGTCGTAGTATCTACCCAAAGGAGAATTACGATGTTTTTATCGTTTTACTAAATTCACATTATTTTTTATTTGTGAGCATGCATATCTATTTGTAGTTATTCCTTTTCATTCACATGCTTTGTCTGTTACTGTGTTCAATGGATTGAACTTCTCTGAATGGCATGAACAATTTCACATAGGTATGATGGATCTTGACTTGACTCTACTGAATGATAAACCTACTATCATTACTTATAAGAGCAGTGAGAATGAGAAGTTTTTCCATAAATCATGGGAGCGCTCTAACAAATTGAGTCTTATGTTCATGCGAATGATTGTTGCTAACAATATTGAGAGTACTATTCCACAAACAGAAAATGCCAGGGAATACCTGAAGTTTGTGGAAGAACGTTTTTGTTCTGCTGATAAGTCTCTCGCTGGTACACTAACGACTGAACTCACGACCATGAAGTTTGATGGGTCGCGCAGTATGCAAAATCATATCATTGAGATGACTAACATTGCAGCAAGACTTTCAACCTTGGGGATGAAAGTGAATGACACCTTCTTGGTTCAGTTTATTCTGAACTCATTACCTTTTGAGTATGGACCATTCCAAATAACTATAATACTATTAGGGGTCGTTTGGTTTGAATATGAGTTATGATGGGATAAGTTATGTTGGGATAAGTTATGTTGGGATTAGTTATGATGGGATAAGTTGTCCTGGGATTATTTCTTATTGAGTGTTTGGTTTGTTATATTCAAAATAATATATATTGATAAATTTTAAGAACAAGTTGTTTGTTTACAAAATTACCCTTCACTTTATTTAAACTTTTTAAATTTTTCTTTGTGAGCTTTAGTTATTCATTTTTTAAAATAAAACTTTTATTTTTTTTAACTTAAATATTTTTGTTTATGTATTCCCATGATAAGTACCATGTGTATTTAAAAATATAACTTTTTTCTTATTTAGCTTAAAAATAGAACTTTCCTCTTAAGTTTATTAAAGAGAAGAAAATTTATGAGAAATCAAAATAAAATAAACATAAGAATTAGTCAAATAAATTCATAAATAAAAATTATATTTATATAGTATAATTTTTTAATAGAAAAATATGTATAATTATCATAAAAATAAGGAGTAGTAAATATTATTATACATGGTATTAAAAAAAATGTAAATATACATAAATGTAAAAAATGATATATAAAAAGGATTTAAAGGGACA